TTAAATCAAAACAGCACGTGAATCGGAAATGATTCATGAAAATTAAAGTGGAGAGGAACACTTTAAAGTCGGATACTATTACATCGTTATTGTTACTGACGATTTTGTTTTTAGTACGATAGTAATTTTATTAAGATTAAATCTCGACAATAATTTTTATTTATTTTCCAAATATCATTGCAAAAGTTTAATCGTATTAAAAATATTCTTCTATTTAACACTGACTTTCAAATTAAATAAATAAAATAACATATGTTCTTATGGTACAAAAACTACACGTTAGTACGTTGACGTTTTTCATTTTATTTAAAATCAATTTAGTCGAATAGAAGTAAACATGAAACCTCATTAGATTTCACTGCTTATATTTAGAAACCGTTCTTATTAAATACTCTTAAATATATCAACTGATAATTTCTGACGCACATGAGCAATGTCGTTTATACACTTAAAGTGATCCCCATTTGTAGATACCCCATTCAGTCCCTGTGAAGTCCTCTGAGAATTGATGTTTAAAACTTATCGTTATATTTTCATCCGCGTACAATAAGACGTCTCTCCTGGATATGATAACCGGTCCAATTGTTTTGGTCACGATTCAATAAATGACCAAACAGTTAACCTTTCGGTAAGCATAAATCAAAAATAATACTTGAAATCGCATTTTCGAGTGGCGAAACTGGTTGTTGAATCCCTGCGGGTTAAAGGTTTATCATTCACACACAGGGACGGTCCCTCTCTATTAGACATTTGTGCCGCCTCGTTTCAAAAAGTTTTTATTGTCATTCATAAGCCTCTCACATCCATATATATCAGATTTGCCGAAGAGAGGTTGTCCTTTTTTTAATATGTTAATATATCATTGGTCGTTTATTTTGAGTATTTTCTCTCAGCTCTCATCTTTCGTATAGTGTGTTCGAATCTTAGAGTGACGGCAGAGAAAAATCTGCACTATAAATAAAAGATAAACATTCTTAGGTTTAGCGCTCACAAAAAGAAATTCGAAGGGATTTGTGTGTTCAGCCGATCTAGTAATATAGACGATTATGAATTCCACAATCCAGAGCAATGTATTTATCGATAGAGGATTATACGTCGTTTAGTCGATGATAAATTGAACAGTCACATTATTCGAATCTAAAAATTGAACGTTGCCTAACTGTAACTAATATTGGCATTGATAAAACGTTCTGGTATGACTAGGAGATAACGCACTACATCTTTCAGGAGCCAGAGGGTAAACAAACAAACCGAACATTTATTTTAGAGCCATAGAGTATTTCGATAGAAACTCCTCTATTCAACCCTTAAAAATGTGTTTGGTTATTTATGTGTAGTTCGTGATCCTTGTTTTAGAACTTTCACGGTTTCAACTATATATTATTTTAAATTTTTGCAACTTCTTTTGTCTTTCTTTAATATATACAGTATTATCGACGTTTTTAGGTTATATTTAGTTTATTTTACATACTAGAGTTAAAAACTTTTTACTTAAAACTCAGCTGTAGTCGTTAACCGTTACCCTTGACGCAATATATATTACTTTTTACAATTTTATTTTGCTTAAAAATGCAACGCTTTGTCCCCATTGAGTGTTTAATCAATTTTCCGAAGTGAAATGATGATAAAATTTCGTATGTCCTATAAAAATAACTTAAATTCACAATATTATAATTTTTAAACTACTTCTTGATCGAGTTTTCGATTGATAAAAGCTAATATTAGTGTAAAATAGCAGTTGCTTTATATGTTTAATATATTGTGTACCTATATTTAGCTTCCATCTGACAGTAAAAAAACTACATAAATTCGCCTAAAGTGACTTGGCACAATGTTTAAAAATAGTCTATAAAGTCGATTCTACAAGTCATCTTTATCCATGTTCGGAAGGTTTATTGATGGACGTGTACATTTTACTACGCACAAACGCGAGTAATACAATTTTCACATTTGTTCTCTGAACGGATAACTTTTTTTTTTATGAGAATTTTAAAAGTCTCAGTAACAGTCTGGACTATCTGAGAATACGTGTGTTTGTCGGGTCTTATTTTTTTACTTTTGCCCGGCACGTTCACAATTGCTACCAATGAATCTCACCTCGACCGTGGTCGTAAAAAGAAATTTAAAATCTTTATAACCAAGAGAAGATAGACGACTGCAAAAACATATTCCAATCTCATTTTCTATTAAATTAAGACCAGCATTACTATAGTATACTACTACAGTTGTGTCATATATGAAATGTAACTTACTTTTATACATTATTGGAGGTGTGGTCATAATATTCGTTAGTAAAACCCTATTTACACTACATAACTACTATAAGACTTTTTACACCCCCACATTGACACTTACCTCGTAACTCACACCCCATTTATCAGTGATAGGCTTGACCATAAGGGTCCGTTGTTGCGGGGGTGTCTTCTTATTTTTAATATATTTTGCTTTTTTCACGGGGAGGTGGGAGTGTTCCCTAAGATTTCTGAACAAATGTTCACCAAAACCGACTTACCGGTAGTACAGTTTCGAGCATGGACCAGTGGATTACCTATCAATATCCGAACGGGTATAGTTATTATACGAATAACAACTGTGACAGTTATACAAATCATTACAGTTATAACTACGAGTATAATAATGCCGGATCTTACCGGTACTACGAGGTAAAATTTATAATTAGACAAATATTTTCTCAATATGTAGTTCAGTCATTAAATAATAACAAGTTTGCTTTAGCAGGGAGTAATATATAAATATAAAATAAACTTATTATGCACATTTCATACGCTTTTATTATGGTGTAATTAATGCTATTAACTTTAATAGATATAATTTTATGCTTTAATCTCATTTATACATTGATGATACTTGTTACATTTCAAATAGAATCGTATTAGTGTTTAAAATGTCCAATTTAATATAATTAGGTCTCTCGCTATATAGAAATAATCAATTATAATTCGTATACCAGATTTAACCAACTTATTTAAATTTTATATTAAAAACTATTGTACCATGAAACCAACGCTCTTAAATATCTCTCACGTTTATTAAAGCGTAATTCCATTTAAATTAATTATTTTAAATTATCGCATAAAATCATTTCATTATGATTTATTAAGCTGTTAGTTAACCCTGTGTGAATTGTATGGCTTGTACCAAGTTTATTGTGTTTTCTATTGATTTCATTGAAAGTTTACTGATAATGACCGAAGCTTTATCAAAAGTTTTCGCTATAAACTACAAACCTAGATAGTTTTAGAAACAAAATCGTTTAACTAAAAAAAAACTTTTTCTTTATCAAACGAACATTTAAAACAAACCGAATCACTTTAGTTGTACAATCAAATACAATAACACACACACACACACACACATATATATATATATATATATATATATATATATATACACATACACACACATATAGATATATATATGTGTGTATGTGTGCGTCAAAAGTTTACTACTGAAAAGTTCTACTCTCCAATGAACAAAATCACCGACAGTAAACTAAAAATTTTAACTTATTTGATGTATTGGATTTTAAGATAACTATTTACTCTAGTCAATTACTATTTTAATTTACAAATTATATGATGCACATTTCATTTATTTAATTATTTCGCTTGGTAGTTTATATTTATCAGATTTTTATAGAAATATATAAAATGAACGACATATTTAATAATCAATAACACAATTTTAGTATAATTAAAATTTTATTCGGCGTCTGTTAATTGATACGAATATCGACCTAACTAAAGTGAATAGTAAGTATCGATAATTGTTATTTTAAACCGAATAATTAGTATTTCAACATCTATTCACCAAAAATCCTTTTAAGTATAAATAATTTTATTCTACATGTTTTACACTTTAACAGAGCATGTTTGAATTTACCCTTTTATTTTTGAATCAAAGATTAAAATATTTTGTGGGTATTTGTAGTCTAATCATATTTAAAAGGTCTTGTAGCAGACACGTCTTGCCGTTTACGTGCTCAGAGAGCTGTTTCATTATTTTACCTTAGTTTACCCTACACATTTTGTCCCATGTAATATCTGCAACCCTTTCATTTTCTATGTCGAAATACGCATTATGGATCGGTAGAAGTGGGAACGAAAAGAGCTTTTCATCGGGTGACTATTGAATTAAAACCTCGCGTTCATTGTCGTTGAAATCCAATTAGCTGTTCCTCCGGGGTAGAATAGGAGGTTTTTGGTTCGACTAAGGATGGCTGATTGTTTTTTCGACTGACTTTCAGAATAATAATTTAATTTCGATTTAAACGTGAGAATGGCGTTGGTCGTTTTGTGAGAACTTTTCCTGTTATATCAACTGTTTTAGTTAAAAATATTTTTTGCCATGTGAAAACTGATTTGAAATATTAATACTGCATTACTATAATATTACTAAAATATATAACACTAAATTTACTAAAAATTCAATTTATAGAAATATTAAAACAAAAATAGTTAATTTAACTGTTTCGTCGTGTGAACATAATTGAATAATTACCAAATATCATTAATTACTTATCCATTTGATTATCACATCAATGCACATTGATATTAAAGTAATTTATAGTTGCAAATAGTACTTTCTTTCGATAAATCTGTATTAAAGGATGCAGAACATAGTAAAACAACAAGAACTATAATAATAAACAATAATCTACTAATTTTATGTGCAATTTATATTTATAAATTTCAATTAATTAAAAACACTAACAAATCCCGTTGTGACACTCCCAAGGTTCACAAATAAAATGTCTTCTAAACTTTTTTTATAAACTATATTTATTGTAAAATTTTCAATAACTATACAATCATACTCAGAGTATAATAACTCAAGTATAATATAACTACCGTAAGGTCTTACAGAAATAATTATATTAATCCATGTATGAAATTTCAATACAATTAGAAAATATATTTTTTAAATTCTTCTCTGCTGTTTACCCATTTTTATAACTTGACTATTTTTTTATATTTTAGACTGTAAATAGCACAAATGACACTACGGCCAACAAACAACAACATTTGCAAACTCCTTCTGTTGGTGCAGTTCAAAAACCAGAACAAAAGCCTGTAGAATGCAATCTATGTCACAGAAAGTTCAAAAATGTACCAGCCCTTAATGGACACATGAGACTCCATGGTGGTTATTTTAAAAAGGCAAGTCCATAAAAAATCTTAAATAAAAACCACTAGTCGCTAAAGGATTTTAAATTTAATAGATATATTTTATAAATACCATATTATTTAAACAACAATCCAAAATGATCTCATTTAAAACTTCTACATAATTTTTTTGTAGTTTAATTAATTTTAATCTCATGCTTTACTCATATAACACAATAATAAACTAGAACATCATCGTTAATTAAAAACAAGTACAATTTAGTGATAAAAAAACCCGAAATACCATAAAACTAAGTGTCAACCATCTTAATCCGACTGATGGAGTTTCCATTGGTAATCGAATAAGAATAACTTCTCTTGAAATTTATCAAACGCATACTACATTTGTAAATAATGATTTTTTTCAGTTTCAAACATTTGGATGGAGATTAGTTTTTTTTGTATGTATATTAACTCGATTCTCTCGCCTCTGAACGATCGCATGTGTTCACAAAACCTAATGTAATATTACCATATATGCATACTTTAATTTCCAGTAGCTTTTTTTACGATACCTCTTCTGTCATAATATATTTTCCGGTATAACCTACTGAAAAAAGCGACTTTTATAATGAAATTACTAGGTATCTTGTTTGCGTATTACGTTATAGCACTAATTAACGCGTACATTGGATTTCAACCAATTATCTTTCGCTAATTTTAAATCCCAAAAGGTTTAATGAGTTACGAGACGCAAAACGATCGATGAGGAACAAAAGCAAAGAGGATTGACGAAAAAGATAGGCGGTTTGTACACAGTTTGAAAAGTAGAATGAAGGAGAATCGAGTGAATAGCTATATAAAAATCGAATTTTTCATTTAAAAGGCTCACACATTCCTGATTCCAGTATTGGATTCGAACGCAATAGGACCACGAAAATAGAAGACCGGCGAGGTAGGAAATAGTTATGCGATTTCAAAGAGATAGAGGATGACAAAGAGCCCTATGGTATCGTTCTCTAAAGAGATTATCGAGATCGACTTGAAAGGGATTGTTTTTGTACGTACTACATATTATATCATATTGATGGTTGTATAGTGTGTTCAATATAACAAACTACAAAGCTTTGCAAAAATAACTCAAGTTACGGGTAAATAATACATGAGGATTCGGTACTCAGATTAAAATGGTCTACGGTGATTTTAAGAGACGTTTGTTTCGGAATTCCCATTATTCTATTGGAACCTTTGATAATTCATATCCAGACACGTAAAATGCAATTTATAAACATAATGAAAATTATCTAAAGAACTAACGACAAAACTAACCATATTAATGAGTTGATTTGAAAGACTGACAAAGTTTGTCAGCTCTAAAATTAAATTATTTTATTACTTTATTTTAACGATTTAATTAAAATAAGCTAACTAATTAGTGCAATTCATTTCTTGAGAAAATTTAATATTTTCATTTTCATTAAATGCAGATTTTATTGAAATATTAAAACAATCTAAGTATTTTATTCAATTTGTTTCATTTACAGTTTTTCTTTTTAATTTATATCTTATGATTACTTTCCTAGTTTTTTTTTAATGATATTCGTATTATTTTTGTTTATTAAATAAACAATTTATCCATTGTATTTGGCACTAATTCATGCTCAATATGATAGTTTTATTTTACATTGAACAAAAACTCAACTTGTGTTCGTCTTACACTTGTTGGCATCAGTAGTATTTGGGACATCTACAGAAAACGATCATCAATATTAGTTTTAATGTTTTTACACTAAACATTTCAGCACTCTACACCTTGATTTATTTTTGTCAATATGAAATGAATGCCAGGTAGGTGTCGAATGCAATTACAAGTATTCAACTTTATGAGTTTAGAAATAGATCATAAAAACGTTACATCACCAAAATTCTTTTCAATACTAATGAAATGAATCAGTGAATTAAGTTAAGGTTTAATTATGTTATGTATTTAATTCGCTAATATTAATATATTATATTTAAAAAAAGTGGTTAAACTCATACTCGTTATTCAAGTGTAGTCTTTAACTACAATACGACATTTACTATAGTAAATGAACTACATATCCCTATACATTTTATTTGATTTAAATTCACTGAAAATTAATTAATTGGGTGAGCAATATCCAGTTTAATAAACATTTATTGTGTTCATGCGTCGATATTTTAGTCATACTTCCTCTTTAATATATTCGAATATTTGAAAAACACATTTACACAAGAGTTTTTTAACTGACTATAACATAGCGAATAACTGAAAACCAATTTTATGAATTTTATGAAAACCGGAAACACTCTTCAAAGAAACGGATATTTACATGAAACACTCGATCAAACTTTCATATTTATATTGATGTGTACAGCAATACAAAGTGATTTGTTTCTTACGAACGTTGTTTCTCAGTTTTACGAAGGGAAACATTATTTGTCTTTGATCTCACTTGTAGACAGTGAACTGTATTAAAGACAGTATTTTTTGTTTCTTTACTCGTTCCAATTTTTTTTCAACAATAATTAACCTCCCAGGCAAAAGGTTTTATTTAATAATTTATGTCGTAGAGCAAAGAACTAAATAGGAGATATTGCCATCATATTACGTTCTCTCTTCCTTTTTTATTAAATTATAAAAATGCGTTTACAAAGAAAAAGGTTGCAAACTGCAATGAAAAAAAAATAGAAATGTGTGTTACATTTTTTAAATTAAATTACAAAATAAATGGCGTTGACTGCGTACGTCCTCTCTTGAAAAAAATAATAAAATACAGTGGACTCGGTATCATTTTTAATTTCGTAATGTATAAATACGGTACATCTTTAAGATGCCAAAAGGCATGATATTTTTGTTTCACTACTGTTTTCATTCGTGTTTTAAATTAATTTATTTCACCAATACGCCGGTCGTACGCAACTTGTGTTATAAGACATTGTTTTTGCAATAAAATTCCTTAAAATTATTTTTACAAGTAGCTTAAATTAAATTTCTAGACGTTTATTTCGAACAAATTGAACGGAATGACTGAAAAACAATTTACTACTAAACTATAATGTGAAATTATTAATGTAAAAGTAGTATAAAAAAAATGTCATGTCTCAAGAGGAAACTTAGCTAACTGCCACATTATTAAATGACGTGCTGCCTTGTGTAGTATATAACAACTAACTGACCGGTGGCATTATATTTTTAGAAACTTTAATGTTTGCTTCGATAAGTTTTATACGTGTCAAACTTTTTCTTTAGCCCACAAAATGTGCACAAATCTATTCTCTATACGTTTCCTAGATAATTTACACATTTTGAGATTTTTTATTTTTTATTATTGACTATTTTTTTTTATTTGGATAGTAAAACTCTGTTTTGTAAAAAATTCTATGATTTTGATACCAAAATTGATTTCTTATCTTTATAATTAAAAGAATCATTAATACTTTGATAAACACAACATTTCTTGTCGAAATTAAAAATAAAGATGAAAGAAAATAATGTACTAAATTTGTTTACAGTATTCAATTATGATGGAAAAACATTTTTTTTAACAAATAACGCATTCCAGTAGGTTAGAAAAAACAATAAAAATCAATAAGCTTTCAAAATAACTTGAATAATTTAATGATTCAGTTAATGTTGTGTATATACTGGTATAAAAAGAATAACAAATAAGTGAAATTCCATAATTTTTTTATTGCTTTTTTAATAAATTTTCTTTTTATATTATTTCATAATGTTTTTATAAAAAAAATATCACTACGTCACTTTATTCGTAAATGAAATTGTTAAATTATTATTTCACAACATATTTAACAAAAAATACATGCAAAATTAAGTTAAATTGTAAATACAAACTAAAAAAGCACACTTTGAATAGTTTTTAAGATGCGTCTTCTCAAAATAACATTCCACGTGTATGTGTGCTCGCTATTTTGTAATCGTATTTCTTTATTATATTCACAACCTCTTTACTAATGATATATTACAAAACTAATGTTTTAAAGTTATTTCGCATACTATAACTGTTATGAGCTCGTACGTGAAATTGTCTTCTTCTCACTCTAAAATAAACAATATTTTTCAAATATCTGTTTTTATGTATTTTTCTTTCTACTTTAAAATATTCAAAAATAAAATAAACTTTAAAATACATCCAAATGTAATTGAATTTTGCTAATTATTCCGTAATGTAAAAATTTATAAACCAAAAATACTATTGTATTATTAACATTACTACTGTTAACAAATTGTAATACTTGTTTCTAAAATAATATATTGGCAGCAAAAAGAGAATAACTTTAAGTATTATATGATTCATTTAATTTGGTGAAATTTTATTGATATTACAAAAAATGAAACTATTTAACTTATGTTAAAGATTTAATTTGTTCAATATAAATTATCATAAAATTTGCTCAAGTAATATTTATGTTGTTTAGTCTAAAATATATTTTTCAAATAATGTACGTACTAGAATGTATACTTCGTAGTTGCATTATGTTCATAAAAATATACCTTTTATTCTATTTTATTTTTCATATTGTATTTAAACAAGTAAACCAATATATGTTTGACTAGAAACAACCATCATTCAATAAGTAATTAATAAAAAAATTGAACTATTTGTTCACTTAAACTATGTAATACTAAAGTATCATTTAATTTAATTTTAAAAACATTGTTTAAAATGCGACAGTATTTTCTTTCGATAACATTAATTAAAAATATTCTAGTTTTAAACCTTACTCCGTTTAACGAAATTTAGTAAGAACGCCAAAATTTTATATCACTCTCTTCACATCTAATATCTTACTGTATTGGTTCTCTTATCATGCTTACTGATTTATTATGTTGGTCAAGCGAGATTGGTAAAAAATTCAAAACCACAATAAAATATGCTAACCCCAAAAAATTATCGGAAATTATTTAAAGAACATTAAACTAAACCGAATAATAGGAATACCTTATCAGAATAAGATGACAAAACCATCACAGAAAAAAATAAAGATGAAAATATAAATAAAACCTCATATACTTCAATAATTATTATTATTCATTCCTTGGGATATATAAAAATATATAAAATTTTATAATTAGGTATTCCTTAATTTTCTTTAAAAGATTCTAAATTAATGCATTTTAACTATTATTTATAAAATTAGAAAATAAATGTATAAATTCAATCTCTTTTTATTTTATTTTATTGTTTTATAGATTTAAAATTTCAAGCAAACAAAATTACCGAAATATTGATTTTTGTTTGAAAATATTTTGTTTAGATTATATCACATTAAATCAATATAAAAAAAAACTGTGTTATTTTTTTAATTGTTCAATTCATAGTAACTGTTTTTACATTATTTCAGTTTATTTATTATTTATTGTTTTATTTAATATTCCATATTCCCCTCCAATGTTATTAACGGCTACAGAAAATCCACTAGCATTTACCCTGACATTTATTCATGCCGAACCCCAATATGAATCATAAGCAAAGGGATTTATAAAATATAAATTATAAATCAAAAAACATTTTTATAATTAAAAGTAATACAATTCTCTTGTAGGAAACTGATTCCAAGAAATGGGAAAAAAAAGAAACGTCTGGTCCACCGTTGCAAACTGCCAGTATGAGCGTAAGAGCATTAATCGAAGAAAAAATTATTCAAAAAAGAACTACAAAACCGACAACCTCAATTCAAAATGGAATGAATACATACAACAGTAAGATACATTGATTATTGCCAAATTAAATTTAGAGACTTAAAAATTTTACCTAACCTAGCACTCAATTTGATATTTGAAATAATGAAACCACATATATTTTCAGGTTTAAACCGAGACAAAGATACATCGGTTCAACAAACATTAAGCAGAAGCACAGTACACACAGTTATGTCCAATAATAGTGTTACATCTTTCGCTATCCCTGCACTTCCAAGCACAACTGTTGACACAACAACTAGTACAGCAGATACAACTTCTGTAGTTTATACAGACATACTTTTGAAAAAAACTGGCGTGAAAAGAGCGTGCTCGGATCCAGGATACCAATTCAACCAGAGGTAAATTTTATAAATTTTTATTTTAAACGTCCAATTGAGATAATTAAAATTATGTTGGATAGTATCGGATTACTCATTAGTTACAAGGATTACTTGATGGACCGAAATTTGAGAATTACCTCTTATAAATGATACGTGTTTTTAGCTATGGTATTTCTTCGTGTCATGAAAAGATTATAACTTTCATTGATTGTTGATAAATCGAAGTATTTTTCGAATGAATTCATGCTGTTGTTTTTTTTTTTTTTTTCATAAAACTGCCGTTTCAATATTTATACTCGGGGAGATAAAGAACTGTTTGGCGTTTTTTGCAATATTTAGTGTAGTTTTAAAAAGAAACTACTGTCAATTGCCTAGGGGAGCAGTTCTTGTTGATGCGACATTGCTCTCAGAATAATTATGTTTCTATCTTACATTATAGCTGTCGAGCCATTAAAATTACAACCTTGTCATTGTAATAATTTCTAAAAACTTCTTGTTTATTCGATATTATTTAGGGAAATTTCAATAATTGCTACAATGAACTTACATTTTATTGGTACTATTTAAAATTGTTGAATTTAAAAACTGTTATTTTCTCAATTATTAATACATAATAAAATCTATTTGAAAATTATATTCTCTAAGTAACCTATAGAAATACAATGATCGCTTAAAATAAAAAATGGCGCTAGTCCATAAAGTTAAATTTTTTTTAACTGGTTGACACGCGGTTTGAATGCACAGGCAACTGATTAATAAAAAAAAAAAAAAAGGCATATTTCTTATTCAGTGAAAATTCATAAAAATAGTTGGTGGGCGTAAATATAAATTTAATAAATAAATAAATACACGTTTATTTATGCAGACATATCAATTCGAATTTGCGGTCCATTAATCTTTACTCCGTAATGGGATTTTGTTGCAGTAGCAGTACCAGCCCACAAATAGATATTAATTACACCAGTTCACCGTATACATTGAATCACGGAAGCAATGGAAACGGAGGTAACGGCGAAAAAGATGCCGATAACCAAGGCTATTATTCCCCTGGACTCAATGACGATATATTTCCCAACGTGCAAACGGACACTATGCTTTTACAAGCCGTCGATTCTGTACAATTGGCTGATACGATACAGGTAAAATTCTCCCTGTGGTTTATATGAACGCGAGGGAATGATAACAATATTATAGTATCGCATTCACGTTAAACAAATTAATTATTCACAGTGATTATACCACAATACTGAGATTGGAAAACTCCTACGCAGCTCTTCCAGTTTAATTTTATAATATAGAGTAGGTTACAACCATATCGTTTAAAACTCTCACTTTTTGTGCACGTTAAAAATGAAATATAAAATACTTAATAATAAAATGCCCAGGTAGAATAAGTAGAGAATAAAAAAATTTAACTTAATCTAAAATTACAATGAAAAAAAAACTAATTAAACGTAAATATTATTTTTTTCGTTAACAAAAAGAAATTAAATCTCATATCTACAGATATTAGCTGCTATAACTGATTGAACCGCTAATTTAAAATGTATGTTAATAGATAGCATAAAAACTGTGTCGCTTGAATTAAAAACAAATTAACAAATTAAATAATTAACATTTAATTAATACTAATTATCAAACAACTGGCGATTACTAGTCGTTATAAGCTCATATTTTAAATATAATTACTTTGCTAAGATATTTTCAACTAGATCTAGAACCAAAAAAGAATAAAAAAAACATTATAGTTGTGTTTACCAATGTAGCCTTAATAATTGACGTTTTCTCCTGCTTCAAAACACACAAACTGACAGTGATTTAATAGATAACCAAAATAAAATCTAGTTAAAATAAACACAATATTTAGGTTCAGATAAAAATAAAATGTTCAATTTTTATCTAATTAAAAATAATGTTAATATGAGATTTATCTGGTTAATATGATATTTATAGTAAACAGACGCAACGAGCGAACGATTGCCACAGAAACTGTGAATAAAAATTTTTATTCTCTAGAATAGCATGAATACATTTTTATAATGTTTGATTGAAGATAGAACAAAATGACAACCTATAAAATTTAAAATACTAATATGATAAAAGTAAAAACCAGAAATATATTATTTATCTAGATACATTTGTCTAAATGAGTGTTTATTTAACTTAAGATAGCGTTCATATAATGGTTTCCTTAGTTATCTAGATCAAATACAAGTTCAGTATTTTTTATCTAGTTAAATTTATCTAGATACCGCTCAACACTGCGACTCTATATTACAAAATTGATCAACTCAACAAAACCCCAAAAAAATGACTGCCATAGCCCTTTTCTCTTTTCAGTTGACACCTCAAAAATTTATACAAAAATCATTTTTAAATATTATTATTGATAGTTACATTTTTAAATGAAATATCCATTTAACCACATCAAATATCGTAATAGTAAAAACATAACGATAAATTAGTTGTAGCTAATTTTTTGCCTTTTATAATTATATATTAATGGAATAAAAACGAATTGCTTGTATTACATTCCGTTAATTTGTATTAATTTGAACATGACTAGACAATAGAATTTCAGTTTCTATTGTGATTTGCGAGTAATTAACATTCTGTGGACGTTCGTTTAGCAGTCAACACTTTAATTATATCTTTAAACAAATAATTTTATACAGGAACATAAACCTTTGAAGTTAAGATGAATTCTGTAGGTCGGGAAAGTTTTTGTGTAACGACCGTTTTTGCCCCCTTTCGTCTGTGCTCGTTAGTAATAAATAAGCGAAAATTCTTCCGCTTTGAACCATGTGTATTCCATGACGTAAATTGTAAAAGTTTAAATGACTGTAAAGCGTACACGCAGATAAATATATAAAATAACTTTGTGTTTGATGGTCGATTCTGCTAGGCTAAGGGCTAAAATAAATTACCAGGTTGCAATTGCTCATGTAAATACATGCCATGCATTAAACATTCATGGGGAATCCATTTAGATTGATGTCCTATGTATTGAAAGCCAGTCTGCTATGTATATTATATTATTTGCTTTTAATTCAATTTGCATTACGAACGAACGCAAAATATTCTGGAGTACTATAAAAAGATAAATCCCTATGGTTAGCATCAACGTAAATAGACCTTTTTAGTATGCTTTAAGCTGATACCATTGACTAAATAAATATGTTAGTCCGCAGTCTTTAAGAACGATAATGATGTGTTTAGTATAAAATTTACTTAAAAAATATTAAATCCATTAATGTAATCTTTTAATATTACTATTGACGTCTAGTTAAATACACAGTAATTTAAAATTGTGATTAATAAAAATCATTATAATATCTTCAGGCAACGGATATGCAAGATATGTCATGTTTGGACGATTATGATGGTATGACAGATCTGCAAAATAGCGAAGATTTTCAAGCTGTGTTAAACTCTCCACTCTCGGCCAGCTTAGCTGATCTAGCCTANTATAATATCTTCAGGCAACGGATATGCAAGATATGTCATGTTTGGACGATTATGACGGTATGACAGATCTGCAAAATAGCGAAGATTTTCAAGCTGTGTTAAACTCTCCACTCTCGGCCAGCTTAGCTGATCTAGCCTATAGTTCAGGTCAAACAATGTTCACTGATTTGGGTAGATCTCCTTTACCTTCTCCCAGTTTTACCTATCCTACTCCGCCAGCTAGCCAAGAAGGTCAATCGCCATCGCTTAATTTTCACTCTGTAATGTCTAATGGACATTTAGGTGATTTTTTCTACTCGTCAGACATGTCTAGTTCGGAAGCTGTCGAAGCTGCACTAAGTGAAGTACTACCTAATTTTGAATCTGCAACCGACTCTCCTCTTTCTGCAAATACACCAGTGCCATCACCAATGTCATTACCAAACTCATCTGCTGCACCTTCACCGTTACCTAACAACAACAACCACCACCAACACACATTACAGGTAAATTAATTGTTAATAACAATTACTTTCAATTAGTAATAAATTTATTTTATTTTAGGTAATGATGCCCAATTCAGAAGACCCATTATTATCTAGCAGTCCCAAAGAATTTAGAAAGAAATTTGATTACCAAACTTGTCGTTTATACGGAGTAAATGGTACTATGGCACAAGTGATTGATGGAAGTCAATTTCTGATCGACAAAAACGGAGATCTAAAATTAGTTCATGCAAGCTACCAAAATCCTGGAACGATGTTTGTACAAACTGAAGCTCAGTTAATTGACAAAAGTACACAGGCTCTTAAACAACAACAAAAACAGGACAATAACCAAAACATGGACGATATTGACGATCTCTTTATTAATCCATCAAGGTACAAAAAAAAATTTTTTTTTACTGAACATTTTAATCTTTTTTGTTTCTATAATTTTAAATTTATTTTTAGTATTCAATCCAATCAATCAAATAAAGTTAATCGAAAACGTTGTTTTGGAGAAATCTCCTCATATAAATCATTTCGATCGAGGTTACGTTGTCACAGATTAGGAATGTTAAACGAACCGACTTTGCAGTACACACCAAAGCCTATGTTAAGCCCTTCACGAAATGGAAGGGGTCTATACTGGCAAGCCGTCACCTCGTGGCCAAGTTCAACGACTGTCAAAGGTATATTATAATTATTCAATTACTAAAATAATTAATTAAAATAAAAACTTTAAATGCTTATAGAAGGTATCGTTGAAGACTGTGTGGGTCTAGATTCTCCACCAGAATGTGATGTTGTTCCACACATTAATCTAGGCTCAAACTTTCAAGCTATAATTCCACCTGTAAACATAAACAGGCCAGCTCGAGAGACGTCTATTGATTATCTTCTTTGGGACCCATATACCACCAACTCAGTAGCTGAAAGAGAAGGTATTTTATTCAATATAATTAATATATGCTTTAAAAAAACATTTTACTTATTTATTTTTACTTCTCTAGTCGAAATGTATATGGATTTTGCTTGTTGTGCGGCAGTACCTGGTGGTGGCAGAAATAAAGAATATGCTCTTCATTTACTTCATCTCTGTAAAGGAAATGTTCAGGTAAAAATTAACACTTAATTTTAAACTGGATTCATTGTTTTTTAATATTAATTCTTAAAATTTTAATATTCTTTCATAGGAAGCTATGTTAAAACTTATGCAGCCAACTCCATATTTACCTCAAGGACATCCTTTAATGAAATTTGAATATACGGAATCAGACCATTGGACCCAAAATGAGGTTTCACTATTCCACAAAGCTGTTTTTAAGTATGACAAAGATTTTTCATTTATATCACAAGAGGTAATAAGTTTTAATTTTGTATCATTAGTAGAGGTGTAATTATAAAGATATATATATATATATAAATATATATTCACAAAATTTCATTACCCCCTCTTTATGCGAAAAAAAATATAATATAATGTCTCTGTGTAATAATTTTTTTCTGATCAAAATCTTTTTCTCATTATCATTCTAAATTACGCCTCTGATCTTTAATATGAAATACGTTTTATAAATATAGCTTATACTTTTTTCATGTTACTTAGCTGGGAACAAAAACATTAAAACAGTGTGTACAGTTTTACTATTTATGGAAAAAAGTGTGTCCAGAAGACTACAAACAATTTCAATTACAAAGAAGAAAATCAAGAAGTGAAGACACTACAGTTAACATGAAATTAGACATTCCAGTAAGTACTTTCATTAATAAAAAAAAAGTTTAAAAAAACCATCCTATAGCCATGAACAAAAATGTTATTAGTTTCCCTTAACTTTCTTTTCTTTTTTAAATACAAAACGAGATTTTCATTGGTCATTTTTCTACAATTATTTCTTTTTTCCTACTTTAGGCTAATGACCTTGAAGTCACCACCAGTTCGGGGGACCAACAAACATACGTTTGCGAATTCTCAGACTGTTTGTCGGTGAGTAGGATCCTTTCTTATTCCTCACTCTTATCCTACAAGTACACATTCATAAAGATTACTAATTCAAACTAACAATGTCTATATTTATATTTCAGTCGTTTAACAATAAAATTGGACTAGTAGCTCACATGAGACTGCATAACGTTGGAACGCCAGATAGAAGACAAACTCCAACGCCTACACAAACAGATCCGAATTATGAAGAATTCCCTTGCAAAATTTGTGGAAAGTGAGTATTATTATTAATTTTATAATCAAAATCAAATATACTCATGTACTATGAACTATCAGGGTGTTCAACAAAGTGAAAAGTCGAAGTGCGCACATGAAATCTCATAGGCCACCTGATGCCGAACCTAAAAAACCAAAATTGGACCAGAACGTCGACTATGGACAAATGATGCAGTTAAAAACTGTGGCGACACCAATTCAACTGCATAGACAATGTTAAACATCTGTGCAATATTAATTACATTAGCACTGATAATTCAAACTTCGATTTTGAATTTATTTATAATAAAAGCTCAAAAACGATCATAGGGCTTGTACAATCATTTTAACCTTGTGTCACAATATCCAGGGTTCATGCTTTTTCTATATCTGCAATATTGTTTAAGCAATATAGCCAATAATTTGATGTATAAGCGCAACACATTTCAAAAGTCCATATCCGATTGCGATCCAACATTATTTTTTTAGCAATAATTTATCTTTGCATCTCGGACAATAAATAATAAATATATGTGCCAATCATGATATGCTGTATTATTATATAATCAATTAATTTAAAAACAATTAATGCTCACAATGAAAAATTCTTCATTTGAAATTTCACGCTAAAGTTTTTTCAATCGCAATTTGTCAATTAAAAACATTTAAAATATCGATACGGGCCATGATATATCAAAAACATTTTGTGTGGTGTGTTATTTGTGTTTGTATATTTTAAACAACTTGAACTACGAGAAAACTATAATACGTAATTACTAAATATTTTCTTTGTACAATATAAAATATAAACGAATAATATTTTTTAATTTGAACAATATTTAATATTCACTTAATAAAAATCAATTTGGTATCCATTCTTGTTACAAAATATAAAAAATCAACAATATATTTGTATAATTGTAATTTGTAATAGCATTATGAAGTGCCAAATGAAATATTTTCCCCTTTGTATTTTTATACCCTGTTAATATAATTTTGTAAATATTTTATCAAGTCGATGCTCAATTCTTTGACTTTTACGTTTTATAAAGTATATTTAGATCCAGTCTTCCCTCCATTAAATCTTTAAGCCCACTTAATTTCGATATTAGTTTTCCTTTAATATCCCTTTAACTATTCATTATTTGCCTTTAACAATTTTAAAACAGTATAATATTTGTAAAATTAAGTGGTGAAAATTAATTAGATTATATAGTTTGTGTTCCAAGTAATTTACTCACTTCATAAAACCCAACAAGACACTATATTATTATATTTTTTCTTTGAATAAAATAAATGTTTAATTATTAAATGGACAGTGCTACAGCAAAATGTTATTACAGGCTTTAGTTTTATTGCATGTTTTCTTTACAACATTAGGAAAAAGTAATTGATAATTGTATGCATCGCTTTAACATTATATAACTAAAAAAAAAAAAGAAAATGTTATTATATATTAATGTATTAGGAATTATAGCATAATGGTAGTAAAAAAATGATGTATTGCGCCTCTTTAATAGGGCTAAACGAGGGTTTCTCTTTTTTTTGTTATTTGTTGCCATTATTAATTTTTTTGTTACATTTATTTTTGATTTTTGAAAGGGAGCAATTATTATTGTACATTATCCCCATGTATTTAAAAAAATATTAATGTATTTATAATCCGGTCTTAAGCGTTGCCGGTACATTCCATCATTTCCCCAACGTTTCGAATTTTCCGGCTAAACATTGTGCGCCCAAAAAAAGGGTAATGATACTAATATTTATTACAAAAGAAGATATTAAATAATGCTAAAGAAATTGTTATAGTTATTTTAGATAAGAGTTATAAAAAAATTTAAAATTAAATTATATTAATAAATTATTCTTAAATTTATTTAATAGAAAAATATTCAAAAATATTTTAGTACGTTCTTGAACATAATGGTAAATTTTTAGTATAGATATTAAGTTATTAAGTATTTTAAAAAATGTTCGTTGTTATTTTGGGATCGAAAAATAAATCAAATAAAAATTTATTGTATTTTCAAGTTTTTTTTAGTTAATATCTATTAGTCAACTTTGTTGTTTTTTATGATTGTACAACAAATATAAATATTACATATTAAAATAATTTTTTTGTAAAAATTATTTTCCATATTTAAACTATTCCTACGTCAATGTATCATTTTTTCAAATTTTCATCAGTCATTGTATACAATCGACAGTGTATAATTTTATTTTATTGTTGTGGTCTTTCAATAAAAAAACGAATAAATAAATATTAATTATTGGTTATTTAATAATACACGCGTTTTATTATCACCTTCATTTTTACAGAAATATCCACAAAATTAATACTGGTAAATAATACTAATAAGTACAATAATTTTTATTTTATTGATTTGCATGGCGTAAACAAGATTGAAGTATATACTAGCATTTGTGTCAATTAATAATTTTAGATATTAAATGTATAATGCATATTTTATCTGAATAGAAGTAAATACCAATAAATATTAATAAAGGATATCAAATGTGGCTAGATGAATTGTTATAAAAATATTTTAACTTTTTAAAAGTGAATAGTGTCACAATTAATTAATACAAGATGGGTGATGTAAATCACATAAAAAAATGTATAGGCGATATGAAGTTGATAAATATTGACAATAAATTATGTCGCAATGCGACTAAAAAACAAAACTGCATAACGAATTAGAAACACAGTAGTCGTTGTAATTGGTTGAAAGAAAAGGTTATGTAGGAGACAGAAGAGTTCCAGACGAAACGATATTAATTAGGCGGTGCATCATATAAACAAAGCGTACAGTACGTACAGGTCGGCGTCACGAAGCAACTTCACGTATATTTTGGCGAGTTATCGACAGCAGTGCGTAATAAGGCGAAGGTTGACATAAGTGGCGCGGACTGTGTCATAACCTATTCTCGTAATATATTACTCATGTAATATTGAAGTAGTCGCAATGATAGTACATATCCCCCTTACAGTATCACTTAATTTATGTAACGTAGCTACTGTTATAATTTTTATTTTTAATGCTGTTTTTTAGAGTTGGTAAACACACTGAAATATTGTAGATTTTAAAAAAGTAACGGCATCTATCGGTCAACATATACACATGTCAATTTAGCATAGATTACAGATCAGAACACATTTTGCTTTGTCTAACCATTATAAGTTTAAAAAGAGTGAACATACCCATCATACTTTATCATCACACGGTGTTGTACTGACAAAATGATTGATGTGATAACGTAAGATTCCTTATCCTAAGTCTTTATTTTAGTATACAAACAAACTGTATCGAGCCCAACTTCTACCAGATTTAAGAAGACAAACTGAAGTCTTATATCAAACGAATACCTTCCAATGTCAATCGACTAACAGTCCACTTACGTGTGATTGTTGATCTTTTAATTTATCGAGAACGGGCTGTCAGTTATCACGGCAGCCTAAATATACACAAAGACTCCTTTTAACAGTTAACCTCATATAATAATCGTCACTGTATATTACACGTGATAAGCATGTTCGACACGTTTGTCATCATTGAATATTAATAAAATAAAATTTATGTATTTTTAATCCCACTGTTATCAATAATATCAATTATTAAAGCCAATCATCCGAGTTAATTAATATCAATTACAGTAGAACGTCAGTAATCCGTTGGTTTTACTAATTTTTTATATTTCACAAAAGAATTTTTTTAATTGAAATATTTTATAAAATACACAAAGTAGTAATAACATTTTTTTTCAAGATAACTGGTAGGAATTCCATTTCTTTTAACATAAATGAGGTAACAGCTATATTAAAATATTATTTTTTTCTGAAATAACATTGAACCTAATGGTTTTTTTGAGAAAAAACGTTCTGTTATTGCTATTTATAGTATTTCAATACCTTCAAATTGGGTAAAATTCATACATTTCTTTATCATTTTTAATTTCTCGGGAAATTTTTGTTTTATTTCAGTATTATAAATAGTCCATTTTTTTTTTACCAGGTTATGACCCCTCAAATTTCTTTAGTTTATTTACCAAATTTTGAACTGTCATTTAATATCGTGCGATACCTATACATATACTGAAAATGATTCTTTTAAAACTTATAAATGTACATTTTACAAAATCGAACATCATTTTCTGCACATTACTCATAATTTAGATAGAAACACCTTAACATGTGATGAAAATTAAAGTACATTAATAATATTGTTACCTACTAAAAATCTGTTTTAGCGTATTTCTAACATACCGATTTTTACCTGCTTAAGCAATAAAGAAAAGAAAGCTGTTAACGCTAATATGGTATCATTGTTACCGTTTTTCTTATGTTCGTAGATATGAACAATATGTATCATAAGGATATTTTCATCGTTCCACGTTAACAGTGTTCACACATTACACTTTTATAATCAATCAGTTTTTATTTTCAGTAAATCGTTCAGTATCGTCACTCAAGGGAATAGTTAAATTGAACTAGTTCGTTCACAAACGACATGTCTCTAATGATATAAGTTTTGATAATTAATCATCAAAATAATAATGACAAAATAATGTAATATACACTTCATCTTTATAATAAGGCCTAGTGGTTAAAAACGTATTTTTCGGCGCACGGGGTACTGAGATCGATCCCCAGAGTGCCAACAAGATTTTTCTTGTTATTTTCTCATTGGTAGTGAACCATATTTGACTCCCCAATATGTAAAAGAGGGGCTATCACCATCTGTAGCATGTTAAGTTAGGAAAATAGAAAGATGTAAAACATCATTTTTACACTTATTCATTATAATAATTTCACTGTAATGTCCGTTTGGAAAACTAAACTTTCAATTTTAAGAGACGATAGTAAAATATTTTATAAATATTCACTTAACATGGACCACTTAACGAATCGAAAAATAAAAGTAATATTAATAACTTTTCTATTGGATTCTTTTAATTCTATGTTTTTCTCAATATATCAATAAATAATATTGTTATAAAATAGTTAAATAAAATACTGCAATATAACAATTTTATTTGGACAAATAATAATGGCAAAAATATTAAAAACCAAGATCTAAATTTATACTTTCAAAGGATCTTGACACTGTCAGATGACTTTTTTAAGTGCGACTATACACTCAAAAAAAAAAAAAACAATATTAAAATATATTTTACAGTTCAGTAACTATAAATAGTTTATTTTTAAAGTTGATTTGATTTACTAATTTCCGACTAAGACTTATCACAGAAGGGCTGTAATTATTAAATGGTAAGTTTCTTATTACCAAGTATTTGTATTAATACAATTACTTATATATTTTTTTGATGGTGATAGGTATTATTGATAAATGATTTTTGTCTAATAAAAATATGTCTGAAGCTACATCTTGATAGGTGAACATTTTTTTTGTGCATAATAAATAATGACAAAAATAAAATATTTTGTACATTAATAATTGAAAATAATTAATAAGAAAATAGTGTTACAAAATACATTTTTTACTAGAAATTTTATCTTTAACTGGTAACTGAAAATTATGTTTGATTGTGAGAAGTTATTTTAAAATAATGAAGATTTTTGTCATATATATCACAAAATCTGGAAATATTATTTCTATTTGAAATTAAATAATCAGAAGTAATATTTTTAATAAACATAAACACATAAAATAAATTACATTTATCCATATTAATAAATTAGATTAAAAATATTTCAGTTGTAGTTGGTATTATCTAAAGATCACAGAATATTTTAAATATTTAAATATTATTTATACATTTTTATTATAATTTACTTTATAAAATACATTTTAATTGAACTACATGTTAAAGATATATATCGATGTTATTTATTACTTAATTGTTGTGTATGTGTAAACAACACAGAGTAATTAAAAACAGCCTATTAATAATAAAATAGCCTGTTTTATTAAAATTACATATGTTCAGTATTATTTAATTTTTCATTTGATTATTTAAAGACATAGCGCTATCAAACGGTATAATAAGTTATCACTATTCTGTAATACGTTCATAATATATAGTTACTTTTCTTGTCGGTTGGTAGCGCTGTTTTAATCAAATATTTCCTAAACACCTAATTTAGACCAACTCAAGACACTTATAAAATTTAAATATATATTGTCCAATCATTTAAAAGTTATTGATTTCAAATAATTAATAATATTTAGTTTTATATTATTTTTCCCTCATGAATGGTATTATACTACTCAGCTCTTTTTTGTTAGCAAACTATGTTCCACTGATAAGAAATATCAGAATGTACATAGCATAAAAACCATTCAAATTGTTTATGTCTTTAGCTTTGCGCAGTGGCGATATCGTAACCAATGAGGTCTATCCGAGGTGCGATTATTGCTAGTTGAAAACTTTAACCAATACCCCGCCATGTGGACATGAAACACTGTCCGCATAGGCAATTTTTGGAGGCCCTGACGGGCTCACATTGAATATGATACATCTACAACCAAGGCGTAGGATTATGAAGCTCCATAAAGTATTGACATTTTCTGATTTCCTCCATAATGATGCACGACTCTCTAATAGTCAATCATTTATGTCACGTTATTAAATTCTATTTATTGCTTTATTTTATATATTCTATAAAATTTATATCATTAACACTAATATTAAGAAATTAATATGGTTATGTATACATATATTACGAGTAATTTTTTTTATTCATATGATATGCAGCTAACTGGATATCATCAGTAATAGTTGTAATAGTAATATTTATGTATATATTTTTTTCTATTCAAATTTTTTTATATTTTCATAATATGTTTATGGATGTACTTAATAAATTAATTTCAATGAAAAAAGATGTTTTGTATTATTTATAAAATAATAAAGAAGTTAAAAATATTATTTTCATTTCGAAATTAAATTTAGTTTAATTCGTTCACCTATATTTTGAAATAATTTAATGTATTGACAAATTTAATCAAAAAGTAAAGATCTTATTCACTTCTCAGTAATAAATTTTTATTTTCTGCAAGTACATATAATAAAACTTACTACTATGCTATTCAATAATTTTTATTTTTCATAAACTACTAATCGTACAATGCTGTCTTTTCATTGTTGATCATTGAGAAAATTAAAATGGTCAAAATGTTATTCATGAAATTATTGACAATTTTATATAAATGAGACAAATTTTTTATTCAATTCTTTGAGTAAAATATTTTTGATGTTAACCAGCATCAATTTAAATCTGTTACAATATTAATACCTTGATTTAAAGCTTACTTTAATAGATCTTTAAATCAATTTTTTTTTTTTTTAATATTAGATTTTCTACTACGAGTAGTATTGGGATCAATGGGGTACTTGTTAATAGGTGATCTTAATAGGTTAATCTTTAAGCGAATAAGAAAATCTTAAGTAAAATATTTGAATTATCTTATAAAACTATACAAAATGAACCACTTTTTTTTATAAAAATTAATTTTTTGGAAAGTTATATTTGATATCTATATTAACAAAAAAGTTTACTTTACAAACATTTTCAAAATTAAAAGGTAATTCCAATTATCAAAAATGGTATACTTGCATCTTATTTCTTATTTAGATTTTAATTCTATAACATTTTTTAAAGTATGTATCATAATTAAACATTGTAAAATAAAGAACAAATTGTTTTGTTTATCAATTATTTTATCGTAGTTGATAAACTGAACATTGATTTCATAGTAAAAAATAATAAATATTGATATTTTTGGGGGAAAGGCAATTAATTATTTAAAAAAATTAGCATTATGAGCATATATTTTAATATTTCATATACACTGGTATTATAGATAAAAAATCATTTACTTTCAAGAAACTTATTTAGGACATAAAATAGTATTATAAATATAATCCTTCTGGTGTACCTTCTTTTTTACGGTACAAAACACTTTCTTTTGATTTTTTAAAATCTTCATTAGTTACCTTCATGCGACGTTCACGGAGAGCCATCAAACCAGCTTCAGTACAAATGGCCTTTAAATAAGAAAAAACAAATATTAATATTATATATTAATGTAACTACTTTTAACTTGTATTAAGAAAATTGAATTATTAAAAAAATAAATAGAATTACCTAATTAATGAAAAAAGGGTAAAATATAAAGAATGTTTAAAAAGTAAGGAAATATGTCAGTTGTTACAAACAATGACAACAATAGAAACCCATTTTCTTACTGACTGAACACCTTACAAATAATGAACTTTCAATCCAATATAACTTATAATTTTTTTATTTAGTAATTTAAAAAAATTATATACTAAATGGCTATAAATCAACTAAAAATAACATGGAATACTATAACCGTCATTGATAAACAAATGAAAATGAAGATGATAATAAACTTAAATTAAAATCAGAAATGCAAGAATATATTTTTAATGTTATAGAAATTAAAAATTACTTTAATGTCAGCGCCAGAAAGGTCATCTTTTGCCATTATAAGTTCTTGTAAGTTAACTCCATCAGCCAATGTCATTCTTGAAGTATGAATATTGAATATACGACGTTTAGTTTTCTCATCAGGCAATGGGAACTCAATTTTTCGGTCAATACGACCTGGACGAATTAGTGCAGGATCTAATGTTTCAATACGATTTGTTGCCATTACAACCTAATTTATTTTTTAATTATACAAAATTATATAAATATCTATAAATCTAAAGATCTTTCTAAGTTGTAAAATCTATACCTTAACATCTCCTCTGGAATCAAATCCATCAAGTTGATTAAGTAATTCTAACATAGTTCTTTGAATTTCTCGTTCACCACCAGAGTTTGAATCATATCGTTTTGTACCAACAGCATCTATTTCATCAATAAAAACAATAGACGGAGCATGTTCTTCTGCAACACGGAACAATTCTCTAACTAGTTTGGGACCATCACCCTAAAATACAAATATTTTTAATTACTAACCATTTTACTGTACATGTTTTATTAACTTCATTTGTAAATTATATAATTTATGACAACTTACCAAATACTTTTGAATAAGTTCAGATCCAACCACTCTTAAGAAAGTGGCAGATGTTTGATTAGCTACTGCTTTAGCTAGAAGAGTTTTTCCAGTACCAGGAGGTCCATATAAGATGACTCCTTTTGGAGGTTTAATACCCATTTCTTCATAATATTCAGGGTGTGTAAGAGGTAATTCAACAGATTCTTTAATTTCTTGAATTTGTTGATCTAACCCACCAATATCACCATAAGTTTCTTGAGGTGCTTTTTCTAGTTTCATAACAGTTACCATAGGGTCAGTATCATCTGATAGAACTCCAACTACAGCATGCACCTTATTTATTTAAATACCAGATTTTAATAAATGATATATGATGTGTATAAGGAACATTGTACCCGAAATACGTATTTGCGACTTTTTAGTCATTTTTTTGTGGCTTTTTGATTTAAATATTTTTATTATAGTTTTGATTTTAAATAATATTATCCACAAGTGATCAATTTTTATTTTATAAATACATAGAATTTTTATTTATAATACAATTACCAATTTTAAATTATATATGTACAGTTCATTATTAATTAATTACCTTATGATTAAGCAAAACAGAACAACTTGGTTCCAATTGATCTTTGTCGACAAAAGATAATATACTAACATAGTGTTCACTTCCTACAGATGTTGATACAATAGCATGATTATCATCAATAATTTCTTCCAAAGTGCCAACTGACATAGGGCTTCCACGTAAATCATCTACTCTAGATCTTTCTTCCTGTGTTCCAAAAAATTTAAGAACTTACATTACAAAACAGATAAGATTAATTCATACACATGCAGTTCATTTATTGATCTATTTATTTTATGCTACAATGTTTTAAAATAATTTGAAACTATAATAGAACATTCGGTGTTCATTAGTTACGGATTATAAATAATTATGACAAAATAAAAATAAAGTATTTATATCAAAGTATATTTTAATTTTTACTTCATTTATTAATATTTAAATATAAATTAAAAATGTTAAAATAACATTTTTAGCTAAAGTTATTCAAGTAATTGTCTTGATTTTATATTGATAACTCAATAAAAATTTCTTCAAATAGAAAAATAATAAGATTCTCTTTGAAGTAACTAAGATTAAGATATTATTTATGCAATTTTTCTTCAATGTTTATATTATAAATTACATGAAGACATTAAATATTAAAAATGTAAATATTTTAATCTTAACATGTACATAAATAATAATAGGTAAAATTATTAAAATTCAAATTGTTTATACTTTCATTGACAACCACTTTCATAAAATTAAACTTTTTAAATTGTTATCTTAAATTAATATAGTTTATTAGAGTATTGGTATTAGATGAAACAATTTTTTTTCTATAAGAATTAAAATATATTATTATACAAGTCTACTATAGTATCTAGCAACTATAAGAAATGGGAATTATAATATACTATAATTATGGTTCAAAATAACATCATTGTAATTACTGTAAATTTATATTGAAGTAATTGTTTGACTTACTTCATTTCTTTCCTCTTGGGGTTTTAGTCTTTCTTGATTTAATATGAATTCTTCTTCCATCATTAGGTAATCCTTAACACGTTCTAGTTTTAATAACTTTAAGCGACATCTTGTATGTGGGGTTACTGAAATTCAAAAGTACAATTAGTCACTATTAAAAAAATATATACTCACTATTAAAAAAATCACACATACTCTGTGGTAATTTTGTTGCTGTATCTGGACCCTTAGCGCGCTTTCTTTTTTTACCAACCCGAGTTGGGATAGGAGGTTCATACTTTTTCTTTTTGTCCTTATCATCTTTTTTTTCTCCACCAGGTCCTCCGCCACCTGAATGACTTTGCCCCTAGAAATTATAATAAAGGAAAATTATTACCCATTAATATAAATACAGTAATATATTAATTGTCTGTGATGTGATATAATTATATTAAACTTACCATAGTTCTTTAATATATAATTCACGGAATTAAAAATAATAAGAAAGTTTAAACAAATAATTAACGAGCTGCTGGAGGGATTCTCCTTAAACTTTAAAAGAATAGATTATTTGCTTATATTTTTAACACTCAGATTTTGATTATCATTTGCTCTGTTGCCAAACTTTTTTGAATGACACTGCAATACAATTTTAGGTTAGACTTTCAAAGAGATTCTACAGTGCAATTGATAACAGTTCTAATAATCACGATATTAAAATATACTAACCAAAATTATGATTATGTCATAAATATATTACTTATATATAAGCAATTATTTCTAGTGATGGGAAATATCGAATAGAAACTATCGAACTATTCGATAGTTGTCCACTATTCGAACTATACGATAGTCATTCAAAAAATATTCGATAGTTACACAATATATTCTAAAATAAACTATTCGGTTGTATAAACACAATTTGAATAGTTATACGATAGTTTAAAATATTTGAAAATGCCCATCACTAATTTTTACTATTATTAATTGTATAATAATTTATTTATAAGTATTCTTTAATTATCTTCTTATTATAATTAAGTATACTTAATACAAATTTTAGGTAAATCTAATCGAATATTTTTTAAAACCATTCGGTAGCCCATTCGAATAGTTTATGCCAAAAATAAACTATTCGATAGTTTTTTAAACTATTCGATAGTTATGCTTAAAATAAACTATTCGGTTGTATAAAAACTATTCGAATAGTTATTCGATAGTTTTAAAAAACTATCGAATACTATTCGATAGTTTGAAATATTCGAAAATGCCCATCACTAATTATTTCCTTTTTTGGGGTCAAAGCTGAATATTGATTATTATTCTACTTTGATAGTTGTATTATAGATTAGATTTCTTTTTATGTAGAATATTAAAGTACTATATTATTGAATTTAAACATAATGAATAATTTTCATATTTCACAATTAAATAAACTATCTACACTGAATTTATGGGAAATTAATTCCCAAATTTTCTGTTGGAACATTTATAAATTGATTTTATTTGAAATATGAGTTTAATACGAATTATATAGAGTTTATTTAGAACGATATCACGCAAATTATTTGTCAAAATTTTATCCATGGTCGTTACCAAAATTTACCTTAATCTTAATGAACATTTTAAACGTTGTAAATTGTGTAATTATATTTTAAACATGTTTTTTAACAACGCAGATTTTATCAAACAATCTACATTTTTATTTGTTTCCACTAACTATAATAATAATAATTACACTAAGGATAGTAATTTATTCAAATTACCAACATAATGTAATATTAAAATAGAAATTACTTTTCGTACATTGTTAAAACGATTTGGCGTTTTGTAATTAATAAATAAGTAAAAAATAGTTTTAGTATATTAATTTTATTATCTAGATATAAGTATATTCAATTATATAGGGAAAATATTTTTTTTTGTCAAGTTAATTATCGCTGATTACTGCGACTACATAACGATAGATGGCTCTGCTCATTAAACACTGTTTAAGGTGCATCACAATTGCAACGATTTCCTAACATATTATTGAATTATTTTCTTACAGTAAGTAATTTTAAAATTATTGTTAAAATCAGTCAGGTATTTTAAATTTCAAATCATAGCAAAATATTTTTATTTATAACAGGGATAATCATTTCTTATAGGTACATCGCGCATTAGATTAATAAAGCAAAACTCTCTTGTCGAATATAAATACAGGTTTCAAATCTCTAAACTATTAAGATCATACTTCACAGGATCATTTCTGTAGTATGCATCGTCCCCTCCAGGTGCAAATCTGGAGTCGTCGTAAGCCACGATGATGAGACTAGTTCTATTACCAGAGCGTGAGATCACCTATATTGACGTGCTTCTGCAAAGTTCAATTAGGTAACGATGATCGCAACCAAGACTTCTTGGAAGGTAAACGAACAGTCTGAGTGGTTCTATATAGAAAAAGACTTATTAATTAACTATACCATCATATACTTGCATCATAGATATAATTAATATCTCTATGGCGTGACGTTCAAATACATTTATTAATGATTGAATGACACAGTTATATCTCTTCCAGTAAATAAAAGGATAATGAATTATAAAATAAAAGTTGATACCGATAATTTTAACTCGTGTATGAATAAACCAATACCTGAAATTTTCGGTTAATTTAAAATATAGTTGTGAGCCTCGTAGATTAGTTATCTGAATTTATGTANAGTACATCGCGCATTAGATTAATAAAGCAAAACTCTCTTGTCGAATATAAATACAGGTTTCAAAACGCTAAACTATTAAGATCATACTTCACAGGATCATTTCTGTAGTATGCATCGTCCCCTCCAGGTGCAAATCTGGAGTCGTCGTAAGCCACGATGATGAGACTAGTTCTTTTACCAGAGCGTGAGATCACCTNCTAGTTCTATTACCAGAGCGTGAGATCACCTATATTGACGTGCTCCTGCAAAGTTCAATTAGGTAACGATGATCGCAACCAAGACTTCTTGGAAGGTAAATGAACAGTCTGAGTGGTTCCATTTAAAAAAAGACTTATTAAATAACTATACCATCATATACTTGCATCATAGATATAATTAATATCTCTTTGGCGTGACGTTCAAATACATTTATTAATGATTGAATGATACAGTTATATCTCTTCCAGTAAATAAAAGGATAATGAATTATATAATAAAAGTTGATACCGATAATTTTAACTCGTATATGAATAAACCAATACCTGAAATTTTCGGTTAATTTAAAATATAGTTGTGAGCCTCGTAGATTAGTTATCTGAATTTATGTAAAATATCTAATAATAAAGTTATTAATATTAAACACTTCATATTGGATTTAATACGTAAATAAATTCTTGTTTTCTGAGATTTACGTATTGATAATGAGAATCAAAACAGATAAGAAGTTATGATAAACACGCTTTCAATCAACAAGTTATTTAATTGTTAGTTCGGTCGTAGACCTAAACAAAATCTTATTATTACTACTGTTTTACTTCATTCGACAAAGTTAACCGATAGTAATTATTTAATAAAGTGTGCGTTATNGTTAGTTCGATCGTAGACTTAAACAAAATCTTATTATTACTACTGTTTTACTTCATTCGACAAAGTTAACCGATAGTAATTATTTAATAAAGTGTGCGTTATCATAAAATATTATAATTTTTTTGTCATTGGCAAATTATATAATTATGTCTGGAGAACACGAAGCCAAAATAATATCTGGTACAGAGCTATCAAAGTTAGTTATTAAAAAATACTTAATTAATCTTCTATTTATGTTTAAATTAATTCTCTTTTACAATAAGATATTATATCATAAAAACTATATAATACTAATAATATGTTTTGTCTAAAGATTATTTTTCTTCTTCTTTCTCGCTTTAATCTCAACTACTTGGGGTCAGCCACCCTTATGCTAAACTTCCACTTGATACAATCTCCCACATCATCTACGCTCACATCAGCTGTCCTCAAATCGCATTCAATAGCATCCCTCCATCTCTTTTTTAGTCTTCCTTCAACATTCATTTCTATAACTGTTCTTACAGCTTCCAATTCTTCTCTCCTCATAATGTAACCAAACCATCTAAGTCTATTTTCTCTCATCTTATCCACATTGTCTAAAGATTATTGCCATTTTTTTTTCAAAATTAATCAAGATCTTTTATTTAAAGATATTATTTCTTTAAATATATGAATATAAACATTTTAAAAGATACGATTATATTTTTTCATTTAATGTTATTTAATTTTAGAGAGATAAAAAGTGCTCTAAGAGAACAGATTAATATTTTAGCTAAACATTATGTTGGATTCAGACCGCAGCTTATAATTATTCAAGTTGGTGGTCGTGAAGATTCTAATGTTTACATTAAAATGAAATTGAAATCTGCTGCAGAANAGATAAAATGTGCTCTAAGAGAACAGATTAATATTTTAGCTAAACATTATGTTGGATTCAGACCGCAGCTTATAATTATTCAAGTTGGTGGTCGTGAAGATTCTAATGTTTACATTAAAATGAAATTGAAATCTGCTGCAGAATTTGGGGTAGATGCCTCACATGTAGCATATCCCAATACTATAACTCAAAATGAAGTAAATTTATATATTTAGCATTTATCAACATTTTGTTACAACTAAAACTCATTTTTACAGTTATTGTCCGAAATAAACAAATATAATGTTGATCCTAATATTCATGGTATTATTGTCCAAATGCCTTTAGATTGTATTGAAAATATTGATTCTCACTTAATTACCAATACTGTTTCAGCTGAAAAAGATGTTGATGGGTATTTTGAGCTATTTAAACATATTATAACATTGTATGATTAATTTTAATTTTGTTTAGTTTGAATATAATTAATGAAGGAAGAGTTGCTATTGGTGACTTGTCAGGTTTAATACCTTGTACTCCAAATGGTGTTATTGAATTAATAAAAAAGTATGCTACATCTATTTATTTATCTAAAGAATATAATTGTAATTATTTAAAATAATTTAAAGAAGTGGAATCGAAATTGCTGGGAAAAAAGCAGTTGTGCTAGGACGTAGTAAAATTGTTGGAGCTCCGGTAGCAAATTTATTATTATGGCATAATGCTACTGTTACTATATGCCATTCTAAAACAAAAGATATTGATAAAGAAGTAAGTATATCAATGGGTTAGTATAATCATTTCATGTCTTAAAATTAAAATAGTTTATGAAATATAGGCAGATCTGCGATTTTTGGGAGGTGTGCTACTTACTATTTTTACTTACTCATTGAACACCTATATATCTATATATACATATATTGATTTCTTTAGCATATATATTTTTTACTATTTACAAAAAATTTATTAGGTTTCTAAAGCAGATATTTTAGTTGTGGCAATCGGTAAACCAGAATTTGTTCGAGGTTCTTGGATAAAACCAGGAGCAATAGTGATAGATTGTGGTATTAATTCTATACCAGGTAATAATTTGAAATTAAATATTTCATTATATGATTTAAATGTTATTTATATTAATAATTTCCACTTAGATGCCTCTAAGAAAGCAGGTTATCGTCTAGTGGGAGATGTCCATTACCCATCAGCTTCCCATGTTGCAGGAGCAATAACTCCTGTACCTGGTGGTGTTGGACCTATGACTGTAGCCATGTTGTTATCAAATACTGTACAAGCTGCTAAAAAGATCATTTGTAAAATAACGAATAATCAATGGAATTTAAGTGAAAGACCACTTAAATTAAAACGACCTGTGCCAAGGTGATTAAACAATTTTTTACCAAGAACAATTTATATACAAACTAAATTTAACTGTTGTAGAGACATCGATATTGCTAGAAATCAAGAACCAAAAGATATCACCTTATTAGCTAATGAAATAGGACTAGTTAGTTGTGAGATAAACCATTATGGTAATAAAAAAGCAAAAATTGATTTATCAGCTCTTGAGCGTTTAAAAGACAGAATGAATGGAAAATATGTTGTTGTCACTGGGTATGTTGTTTAAGGATTTTCATTTTTATATTTTTAAAAAAAAATTTTAAATATTTAATTTATATATAATTTAGTATAACACCAACATCTTTGGGTGAAGGAAAAACTACAACACTAATTGGACTTGTACAAGCTCTAGCAGCACATTGTAAAAAAAATTCTATAGCCTGTCTAAGACAGCCTTCTCAAGGTCCTACATTTGGAATTAAAGGTAAAGTTAGATATCATTTAATTACAATTGAATAATGTGTACAATACAATGAATATTATAAATATATATAATTTATATAGGTGGTGCCGCCGGAGGTGGATATTCTCAAGTAATACCTATGGAAGATTTTAACCTTCACTTAACTGGTGATATACATGCTATTACTGCAGCAAATAACTTATTAGCTGCTCAAATTGATACCCGGATATTTCATGAAGCCACTCAAAAAGATCAAGCTTTATTTAATCACCTAGTACCACCTTCTTTAGAAGGAAAAAGAATATTTACAAATATACAACTAAACAGACTCAATAGATTAGGAATTAATAAAACTGATCCAAATTCATTAACCCCTGAAGAAATTAACAAATTTGTTAGATTAAATATTGATCCTAATACTATAACATGGAATAGAGGTAGTTTATAATCTATTTATCATTTATTACTTTATATTTAACAGTATTTAGTTTGAATTTGAATGATTGGAACAATTCTTTTTTTTTATTTATTAGTAATTGATACAAATGATCGTTTTCTTCGTAAAATCACTATTGGTCAATCACCAACAGAAAAAAACCATACCAGGCAAACTTGTTTTGATATAACTGTTGCTAGTGAGATAATGGCTATTCTAGCATTAGCTAAGAATATGAATGATCTTAAAAATAGGTTATCAAACATAGTTGTGGCTCAAGATAAAGAAGGTGGAAATGTAACTGCTGATGATTTAGGAATGACTGGTGCAATGGCTGTTCTTTTAAAAGATGCTGTCAATCCAACACTTATGCAAACGCTTGAAGGAACGCCTGTTATGGTACATGCAGGTCCATTTGCTAATATTGCTCATGGAGCATCATCAATCCTGGCTGACTTGTTAGCTTCAAAATTAGTAGGTCCTGAAGGCTATGTTGTGACTGAAGCAGGATTTGGATCAGATATTGGTAGTTTGCTCAGCTGAGAAGCTATTTATTACACTTTGCTGTGATTTTTTTATGTTTTTATTTCCGCTCCTACTGTACAGATTTAGCTCAATGATATATCAAAAGATCAAAAAGACATATCTAGTTGAAGTTATAAGCACCATAATTTTAAAAAAATTCCCCTCAATCTCTGTAACTAAGAGAAATGTCCCAAAAACATACAGTTGTCATAAAATAGTCAATTTTGATATTTTTAATTTTCACTTTATGTTAAAATTACTTTTTGAAAACTAAACATATTATTGCAAAATATTTATTGATAATACTTCAAACATTAACCTTGTTGATTACATACTTTTTTTAAAAATCCAATTATTAACTAATATTTTGTAGTGTTTAAATATCCTACCTTATATAACCTATCTTCATTAAGCCTACATTTGATTAAAGCTAATAAAATGTACTTTATGATAAAAATAAAAACTATCTGAAATTTCAATTTCTAGAAGTTAGGAGCATTTAAGCCAAAAAGAAGCAATTTCTGGTAAAAAATAGTATTTTTCATAGCTACAGAACATCTTCATCATTCAATAGAACTTTTCAAATAGTCCATTACTACTATTCAGTATATCTATTAGAATAGTTATTAAAAACATTTAAACTGTTGTAGAGATTATACTGGATATCATATGCCAGGTGCCCTAACATGAGTCGGTCCAACTTTGTAGAGAACATAAAATTTCTTTCTTTTTTATTATTAATAAATAAAAATTCAGTATTAAAAATACTGAATGTTTGTAGTTTACAATAATGATTTATAATATATATCTCAATAAATTAAAAAAAATTTAATTCAACTATATACAAACAAAATTTTTTTTTAATGAGTATACATTTCATTATTATAAATATACAATATAGTATAAACAATGATGTTTTTATTGATAATTGCATAATAAACATTTTAATTTTAGAAATTTTTTTTTTTAATCTATGTTTTTAGGCATGGAAAAGTTTTTCAACATTAAATGCAGGTACTCAGGCCTTATTCCAAATGCTATAGTTTTAGTATGTACTGTTCGTGCTTTAAGGATGCATGGAGGAGGAGAAATTAATCTTGGTCAATCTGTGACAAACGAAGAAAGAGAAGTAACAAAATCATACAATTTTAAATAGTTTTTTATTTAAGATAATTAATTAAAGATCATAACTAAAATTATATTTAGAAAGCATTGTTGAAAGGAATAGCTAACTTACAAAAACACATTAGTAATGGTATTAAGTATGGCATTCCTATAGTAGTAGCAATAAATGCTATGAAAACAGATTCTGATAATGAATGGAAAATTATAAAAGAAGCTAGTCTTAAAGCTGGTGCGTTAGATGCTGTTTTAAGTACCCACTGGGAAAATGGTGGATCAGGTGCTAAAAATTTAGCTGAAACAATTATTGATGCTTGTCATAAAACACAGAATTTCAAGTAATAAAATTTAAAACACTTAATCTTGATTCTATTTTAAATAATTAATATTTGTTTAGATTTTTGTATGATTTAAATATATCTTTAAAATGTAAGATAGAAATAATTGCAGTTGAAATGTATGGTGCTAAGACTGTTCAATTTAATGCAGAAATTTTAAAAAAATTAAACATATATGAATCAAAGGTAAACATTTATTTTAAATTACTTTGTGAACTCTAAATTTAAAAATAAAATTTAGGGTTATGGTAATTTACCAATATGTATGGCCAAAACAGCATTATCGTTAAGTGGTGATCCACAAATTAAAGGTGTTCCTACAGATTTTACTCTACCAATAATGGATGTTTATGTGTCAGTTGGAGCTGGTTTTGTTGTTGTAATTGCTGGAGATGTAAGAAATAATAAATCTTAGCAATTTTTATGTAAATTATAATAATGATAAATATTTCTGTTAAATAGATAACTAAAATGCCTGGTTTACCAACTCGTCCTAACATCTACGATATTGATTTAAATACTGAAACAGGAGAAATTGTTGGCTTGTTCTAAATTACTATTCTAGTTAACATTAATTTAATCCAATTAGTAACCATTATTATTTTATCAAACATTTTATACCACAGATGTTTCTCATTAAAGTTTATTATATTATTTTTAATATATATCTTTATTTACTCTCAATTTTTTTTAATTTAAAAATAGTTTATGTTTAATATAATTTTATGTTTTGTTTTGTACAAAATTCAATATTGTTATTGCTTCTTAATAAAAATATAATTGATGTTCAACTCATTATTATGTGATAACTAATTGTAAGTGATAAAATTTTGTTATTAAAATAAGGATATGTTAGGTTGTTGACACAAATATTAACAAGCATCAAGAGCTGAAAGGATTTAAGTGACATTTTGGGAAAAAATTAATCAAGTTCAAAGCTATAAAGTAAAATAGCTTATTTTAAAAATTAAATATTATAAGGGATTTTTAATAGTATTTATCATTAAATTCTTAAAACAACTGCATTGGAAAAATAGCATTTCTCAATCTTTAGATACAATTATTTCAGAATCAACTCTTCTTTTTCTTATATCTTCTCAGTAGTGGCATATTTAAAGGGGTCACAGGAATATGTGCCTACCTTTTTAACCATAATATAAAAATGTGGTTTTTTTTTTTACTTATATTCAGCTCAAAATGAATAAAAAATTTTCATGGTGACGTTTTAATTGAAAAATTATATTTGTGTTCCCTTATTATAAATTTCTAAATACGCTCCTGTACTCTCCAGCTCTAGGTGCCTCAAATAATAATGTTTTTATATAACTTATTAAAACTATTTAAAGGTTGTTGTTTTGATAAATTAAGGGTAATTTAATTATAAAAGTAGTATACGATTGAGATTCTTAACATTTTGTTGTTTTTCAACAATTAAATTTTAATAATATTAAAAATATTTGAAATTTGTCTTGTAAAAATAGTGTGGACAGTTGATTAAGTATAAAAAATAATAATATATAAACAATATTTTTCAAAACAAACTGCAATAGTTGCACAAGTATATTTATTATAATAAAATGTACATTTATTAACAATATTTGATTTTATTTAAAATAACTATTTAATTTTAATGGCTGCCCTGAGTCGAGCTGATCTACTTCTTGGATTTTCTTCAACTTCATCAATAGTTGGTGTTACAACATGCTTATTTACTTGATGCCAACAATTATCATTAATAACATTTAAAAAATCATTGCTACTATTCATATGAATAGGACTAGTTTTATACTTAAGTGGCAAAACATTTGCAACATTTTCATTTACATTTCCTTGAATATGACGCTTTACAATGGTGTCTTCAAGAGAATGAAAAGCAATAGTAACCATAATACCACCAATTTTTAAATAATGATTGGCCAATATTATTCCGTGATTGATTTCATTCAATTCATTATTAACAAAAATACGCAGTGCCTGAAATATTTTAGTAGCTGGATGTGCTAGTCTATGCAACATATCAAATCTTTTCTCATTATCACAAACATTTTTAACTAATTCACAAAGATCATAGGTGGTCTTTAATGGCCTAAATAAATACCTAACAAAAAAATTATTAAATCAAATGAATTATTTAATTATGTTTATAGGTGTACAAACCTTGATTCGATGATAGCATTAGCAATTTTTTTTGAATGTTTTTCCTCACCATAAATCTTAAAAATTTTATATAAATCTGTTTGATCTGCTTTGGCTAAAATATCAGCAGCTGTTAAAATATTTTCTTCTGGATCCATTCGCATGTCTAATGGTCCATTTTTACTTATTGCAAAACCTCTAGATGCTGTATCAAACTGCATTGAAGATGCGCCAAAATCAAATAAAATACCATCAAAACTATTCATTTTACAATCAAATTTTTTTAACAAAGTTGGTAGATCACTAAACTTTCCTTTTAAAGATACCACTCTGTTAGGATATTGTAGAGAAAATTTTTGTGCAATTGAATAGGCTGTTGGATCTCTATCTAAGCAATAAACAACTGCAGAATTATTTTCTTGAAGTATACGTTCTGTATGTCCTCCAGCCCCAAATGTCATATCAAGAAAATTATGTCCATTTTTAGGATTTAAATATTTAATTGCTTGTTCTAACATCACTGGTTTATGAGATTGGTTTCTCAGCATTCGAGATGAATTTATTTTTAAGTTTGGAAAAGGTTGTCTGAACAACACCTTCATTTTGTTGTTTCATAAAGTCTAATGCCTCTTTCGATAAAACAGTTGAACAATGTTCAGCACTTAAACCACTTGCAGATGATTGAATTGTTCGTTTATACTTAATACAATAATAATTATCAGCTAAACGTCTTAAAGATTCGTATTTTTTCATGCACAATATCAAATCACCTTTAAATGAATCACCAGTACTGAAAGCGGATCCGATTTCTTTTCGAATATATTCACCTAAATCTCTATATGAACAAAATAACACATAATATTATATACAGAAATATTGAAGTTTATAAACTTACCTTCCTGGTTTTTTAGGATCGATTGGCCACTTTTGTAATAATTTTAAATAGTTTTTGTATAAATTAGCCATGTGATTATGGAAGTGTACACATTTGCACCTTGATTGTAATTTTATAAAATATAAATGCAGTTCTTTAATAAATTAAAATAAATTATGTAATAAAAGTAGTTACTTCGATTTAAATAATAACCGAAAAAAAAAAATTGATGGAAATCAAGGGAAACTACACATCAAGTAAGTTTTTCATTATCTCAATTTTATATATATGATAACATCATTAACCAATATGATGCAATGTTACTTTAAAGTCACATTTAGAACGGTGCAGCAAATCCTAATCATCAAAAATAATATTTTTACTAATCTAAAATTTAGATAAATTATACTTAAACAATTGTTGAACATTTCTTTTTTTTTTTTCTCGCCTTTATTTCAACTACATGGGGTCGGCCACTCTTATCCTAAACTTCCACTTGACACGATTTTCCACATCAACCGTCCTCATATAGAATTCAATAACATCCCTCCATCTCTTTTATGTTCCTTCTTTACCTCTTCTTCCTTCGACATTCATTTCTATTACTATTCTTACAGACTTCGATTCCTCTCTCCTCAGAACATGACCAAACCATCTATTTTCTCTCATCTTATCCACTATTGATGTTATTTCTATATTTCCTTTTATATGTTCGTTCCTTACTGTTCAAAAATAATATCAAAATATATTGATTATAATCTAAAAAAACTCGACTACTTCAAACCTACATCAAATTAAAGCTAATATAATATACTTTAAGATGAAAAAAGGAAAACATCAGATTAGTTGACTTCAATAAGTAATAAACTTATAAAATCAAAAAAATTTTAATTTTTGGTGGAAATATTGAGTTTTTTTTTAATTTATTTCAAATACGCAGTGATATAGCAGTATCAATCACTGCTATGATACAACACGATTAAACTAGTCCATAATATATTCTAAAAATACCTACCATTGATGATTTAATTGAACTTTTTGAGATGGGAGTTGACTTCTCCACTATGAAATCGTCTTAACCCAGTTAACTAACTGAGTACTAGACCGACATTGATTAAATAGTTTATTTTATAATTGTTTTGTGGCATTAATATTTTTGACAAATAATTGTTTATCTAATGGGAACCAAATGTTTCAGGCGCGGGTGGTTAATTTTATTTTAGTAGTAATCAGTGTACCTTCTGGAGGCCTATTTTTAAATCGTCCGTTCGATGAGTATATACGTTTATTCCATTAGGTATACGGCCTTCTAGGTATTGTAGTATCACATTTTAATACATGTAGTAAATAATACATATACTTAATAAAATATATCACCTAATCAGTATTCCCCATGGATAAGTTGAATAAAAAAATAGTACCCTTATACAAGATTCAACCACCCTCTTACGCATTCCATAAAAAGCCCACGTAAAAGATTTTATAACATTAACCAATCAAATACAACAAAAAATTTCAAGAATCTCACCAGAGATCGCTAAACCAGTTTTGCGGTCTATAAAAATACCATTTTCCTCCAAATTTGGGGGCTCTCTCTCTTTCGGTGACGACAACACTTTCTACTGCGACGAGGGTTACAATTAAGCGACTCTGTCCGTCTCTCTGGAATTCTCTGTCAGTATGCACATATGGAATCTGAGTGACATACTTCGTTCTAAGTTACAATTCTATATCAAATCTACACAATTTTTATATTCCATTCCTAATCGCTGGGATTTAAAAGAAATATTATATATCTTATTTTCGGTCGAATACTTTTGGTGATACAAATATTCTAACACATATAAAATATTAGTATTTATTTTAAGCGTTCTATTAAGTGTCTCTTCATTTTTTGACTAGCCAATCTGATCTCAGCCGTTTTTCCGGTAGGACAATGGGAGTGTAGGATATTAGTATAATCCATTGTGCAAAGAACTTAAGTTGAGCTCGCATTTACCCTAGATCATTTTGTGGATGACTGAAAAGACGTAGGCCATTTGGAAATAGTTTTCTTGTACAAGACAGTAATGTTGTTTGTTGGTTTTATAAATTATTAAAATTATAAATGCTTTAGTATAAAACAATTACTTACAAGCTATACCACACAAACATACAAAACGGTTTTATATAAAATATGTAAAAATAAATCGAGAAGATTTAATATAGAGTTGTATTAGAAAAATAGTTCTACGCGAGTTAATATAGATCGTGAAGGGCGTCTACCATCGCATACATATCGACAAAAGTGACATCAATTATATGATTCATCTCAACATAATACCTGCCTTATCAGGATAATTAGAGATAAGTAAAAACATTTATTTATGTAATTAATCTATAATAATACCTCCATCAAAGGATATTCAGTAATAAACAATTAAAGTGACGTAGTTGTTGAAAGCAAATTAAGTAAAATAATTGTATATAGAAGTACATTGTACTTTTCTACACATTTATTCATTGTATTTAGAATTCTTTTATACATAATTGTATATAGATGTTCTTGATTCACACAAATAAATATTACGTTGTCTAAAAATAAAATACAAAATGTTAAAATATTTTAGTCACCATTATTAATTAATTTACATTTCTAAATTAATAAGTGATATAAATTGAAACATAATATTATACTATGATTACTCAGTAATTTTAATTAAAACTCATCATACGTGCAACAACTATTTTGTTGGTATTGAACTTTAAGTAATAAGACGACAAAGGGATTATTGTAGCATCCTTGCACCTCGTAATACACTTTTTAAAAATTTGCCTTAAGTTTTTTGTGAAAATTATTTATGTATTTCTATGTTTACAACTTTTTCCAAACAGTGGCGTATTTAGGGGTAGACCGTGGCCTAGGGTGTTATTTTTTCGAATTAAGAATTAAAATCTTATTAAATTTATTATTGATATGTATTTATTTATATGTAACATAATTTAATAAATTATATTTAATTATTAAATTAATTAAAAATATAAAAAATATTATAATATAAATTATATGTAATTTTTTTTTTCTCGAAATTTTAAGTATTGTTGTTTAAAGTGCATTAATCATTTTTAATTTAACATGCATTTTAATATTAAAAATCAAATTTAAAATTCAAAATATATATTTATATTATTATGATAAATTGTAAACAATCGTTTAACATAAATGTTCATCGAACAATACCTAGAAGGTCGTATACCTAATAGAACAATAGAATCCGTTCGATGAACGTATCCGTTCAACGATTGATTCAAATAATAGCCTGTTAAAAATAGGCCCCCAGATCAACTGACAACTCCTATAAATTTTGTAACAATTAACGTTTTGTATGTAATTTTTTAAAAATAATTTATGAATTCTTAGACTGCGTAAAAATATATGAAAAGTGTTCAAATATTCATTATTTTGACATTTAGAACAAATTTAAAATTAAAAAAAATATATATTTTTTTTATTATTAAAAAAGAAAATTACAAACATAGATTTTATCAAAAGTTAAAGAAGTTGTCAGATAGATCGGTTTCACTCTACACATACTTAATAGTAAGATACTATTTCTATTTACATTATATTTCAAGATTTAAGTATAGGCAGATTTTAAAAAAGTGGCACTACATTTCACTCAACCTCTACTATTTTATAGTGTCGTCTAGAAGAGGGATGTTATCTTATTATCTCCAATAAATTTTCTCGGTTTCTTCTATAGGTTACAATCCTCAAGACCTTTCAAGGAGTTAAATTTTTTAAATCAATTTGCTAATAACAAATAATTAATTTTATACTATTTAATTTTGTTTTTAAATTTTATTAAAACACATGAATGCATACAAAATAAAGTAAATTATCGATAATTAATTATATTTAAGTAAAAAAAAAATATCACATATAAAATTTGGATTTTAGTTTAAATAGTAAAAAGTATCTTATAAATAATTATTTATTCAATTCTAACATATTAATCATTTTTTAAAATTAAGATACTATATCTGCACGCCATGGTTGATCACTCTTTGAATAAGGGGTTAAAGGTAAATCAAAAGGAATTGGAAATGATGGAATTGTGCCATTTTGTGTTTGATTTATAGAAAATGTATCACATCCAACCTGTATGAAATTAATGAAGTATTAAACACAATAATAAAACGTGTGAAATAACAAATTAATTTTTTTTACTAAAAATTGAGGTAGGAAAAGAATTCCAACTTCATGTGACATGAAATAATTGCTTCTGTCAGATTTTGTTTCTCTACCCCAGGCAGCTTTTGATAAATTAGCACTAGTTAGTAAAAACCATGACATCTCAGAACAACAAGGAGATNAACATAAATGTTCATCGAACAATACCTAGAAGGTCGTATACCTAATAGAACAATAGAATCCGTTCGATGAACGTATCCGTTCAACGATTGATTCAAATAATAGCCTGTTAAAAATAGGCCCCCAGATCAACTGACAACTCCTATAAATTTTGTAACAATTAACGTTTTGTATGTAATTTTTTAAAAATAATTTATGAATTCTTAGACTGCGTAAAAATATATGAAAAGTGTTCAAATATTCATTATTTTGACATTTAGAACAAATTTAAAATTAAAAAAAATATATATTTTTTTTATTATTAAAAAAGAAAATTACAAACATAGATTTTATCAAAAGTTAAAGAAGTTGTCAGATAGATCGGTTTCACTCTACACATACTTAATAGTAAGATACTATTTCTATTTACATTATATTTCAAGATTTAAGTATAGGCAGATTTTAAAAAAGTGGCACTACATTTCACTCAACCTCTACTATTTTATAGTGTCGTCTAGAAGAGGGATGTTATCTTATTATCTCCAATAAATTTTCTCGGTTTCTTCTATAGGTTACAATCCTCAAGACCTTTCAAGGAGTTAAATTTTTTAAATCAATTTGCTAATAACAAATAATTAATTTTATACTATTTAATTTTGTTTTTAAATTTTATTAAAACACATGAATGCATACAAAATAAAGTAAATTATCGATAATTAATTATATTTAAGTAAAAAAAAAATATCACATATAAAATTTGGATTTTAGTTTAAATAGTAAAAAGTATCTTATAAATAATTATTTATTCAATTCTAACATATTAATCATTTTTTAAAATTAAGATACTATATCTGCACGCCATGGTTGATCACTCTTTGAATAAGGGGTTAAAGGTAAATCAAAAGGAATTGGAAATGATGGAATTGTGCCATTTTGTGTTTGATTTATAGAAAATGTATCACATCCAACCTGTATGAAATTAATGAAGTATTAAACACAATAATAAAACGTGTGAAATAACAAATTAATTTTTTTTACTAAAAATTGAGGTAGGAAAAGAATTCCAACTTCATGTGACATGAAATAATTGCTTCTGTCAGATTTTGTTTCTCTACCCCAGGCAGCTTTTGATAAATTAGCACTAGTTAGTAAAAACCATGACATCTCAGAACAACAAGGAGATATGCGACAATAGGATTTTATGTGTGGAACAGCTTTTGTTCGGTTCCGTGAGTGACTAACCCATTTACTATAAACCATAAAAGTATTTTAACTATGAAGTATAAAAATCATGAGTTAACTATTAAAAACAAATTACCACATATAATTTTTAAGCCAAACTTGTTTTTGATGGACTTTATCACTATATGGTAAGCAGAAACCTCCCATAGGTCCATCCCAACTATTCAGAACATTGTTTACAGTTGGGTATATCTATTTATAAAATAATTAAATCATCCATTAAAAATAAATAATTTGTAATAAAAACAAAATACATCCTTATTGCTACTTATAGAAGAAATCTAGGTATAGCTATGAAAGTTTAAGCAGTAATTTTTTGAAACATATTTTTCTCCTATACTCCTAAACTTATATTGAGCGAAAAACGATTAAAAATATATTAGTTTTTTTTATCAATGTTTTATTAACAAAGGTGTCATTTGCAGTACATAAAGAATACATTTATAAAACTAAATTTCTATATTATCATTTTTCAAATCTATGAGTCTTGAGTGAACCCACACCCTATATTATACACCTAATAATAATCTTTGTGATATCTACACAAGAAAAAAATTGATATACAACACAATGGAAAAAAGTTCATTAGAAATTGTTATAATTGCTTAATTCTATTAAGTATAATATAAAAAAGTTGTGACAATCGACCCCACTTAAATGTTAATTGTCACTAGCCTTAAGGTTAGTTATCTCAGGTTATCAAAATGACAATTAACAAAAACGGTAGCACAGTGGGGTCGCGGCATAGTGGAGACATTGCATAGTAGGGTCCAGTATAGATTTAATCTGACAGTGATTCAAATCACTATCATAAGAAACGCTTCGATGCAAATCTGTAGATAGTGTTTAATTTAAAAAAATTGATGGATAATTGCAAAAGCAATATCAACTTCTATTAAAATAAAATACAAAACCCATAATTATCATACAAAAATAGTATATTTTTCAATATGGTAGCCATTTGCGTATAGAAGATAGATCGTCGGGACAAATTTTTTTTTT